GCGCGAGGAGAAAGGGTGGGGCGTGGAGATGTCAGTTGAGGGGAATGTGTGGTGGGGAATAAATAGAGAATTCGTATTTGGAAGTTAGGAGGAGGTGCGGGGTTTCCCAAAAATGTTTTCCAAGGGGTGAGGAAAGGGTTTGTTGAGGTGGTTCGGAATGTGAGAGAAGGGCGAAACAGAATGACTTCAAGAGTGTATCAGTCTTATGGAAGGGAAAGGGGGGTGGGGCGGCCTAGGAAGGGGGGAGGGAGGGGGTAAAAGGGGTTTTTGGGGGGGGCTTGGACTTCCAGCAGGCTCGTGAGCTTTTGTAGGAGTGAATGGAGACAAATGGTTTTTTAAAAACTTGCTGCTGTTTGGGTGTGAGCAAAGTAACATTTATGAAGGGATTAGGGAAACCCCGGGAGGCCGGCTTGAGTCCGGAATGGGAATACAGTGCCTGCACTCTGAAAGGGGTGTTATGTTGCATTTTAAAAAATGTAGTGAAAAGCCCCCTTCGGCAAACGTGAGGAGTGAATGATGGTGAAAGTTTTTCTTTTTGGGCCCCCCTCCTTGGGGGAATGGGCCCGGTGGATAATAAAAAAAAAAAAAATAAAGGCGGGAGGTACAGGCCTCAGGGAAAATTTATGTTGTGCAACAGAGGTCCAGTGCTCCAAGCTGGCCCCTAGGGGCATTAAAAGAAAAGGGGAAGTAACCCCAAAAAAGGATTGACACCTCAAGTCCTAATGGAAGGGGATTTCCCTTCTAAACACTAACACCACCCCCGTCTCCCCCCCTCCCTCCCATCAAACATCACCAGATCTTCAATACAGGAAAAGGGCAGTAATTGTACGGTTTCTTTAGTTTGTTGTATTAAAAAATTTAAAATTTCATGTGGTCAAATTTTTTTTTTTCAATACTTTTGGGTGTCTTGCACGGATTAATTTGATTTCCATTATTTCTTATGGGGGAAAAATTAACTCGACTAAGATAAATTTTGTTACGATGAGCTTCAGGAAAAAGGATTTAAAATCGTTTGGTCGAGGGGCCACTGTATATTTAATATAGTTTTAGCAAACACCATCTATAAGCACAAATAGTATTTCTTCTGAAATTTTGTAAGCTATTGATTAATAATAATAATAAAATAAAATTTTATTTCTTTGCTAAGGTTACAATGCGTGTTTAAATTTCATAAATTTTATGAAACAAGCAGCGTCATCATGCCGAGGCATCTCTGACGGACTTAAACCTAGTCTTATAGACTACTTAAGTCTAGACAGGTGAAGAGTGCTAGAATACAAATATTCAATATTTTACTCTATTTTTAATATGATGTAATACAATTTATGATACAAACATACAGTTTTAAGTTTGTAATTAAGTTTGTTTATTACTAATATGAGGTAGTGAGATGAGCATCATGTTTGTATATCAGTGGTATTGTTATATACCAACAAGTATGTTATAAGACGTGATATGCAGTTTATGGCATTTTATTGAGATGTTTCTAGCAACAGGGAATTTATCACTTCTGTAAGAACTAATAAAGTCTCTGGTGGACAAAACATCTCAGTAAAATGCCATAAACTGTATACTGTGTCTTATTAGCATAAAACACTATTTTTGAAGCAACAATTTTGTTACACAGAATTCTTCCTCCATAAGCCGTACGTGTCGTAAGAGGCGACTAAAATGCCAGGAGCAGGGGGCTAGTAACCCCTTCTCCTGTATACATTACTAAATTTAAAAAGAAAAATTTTTGTTTTTCTTATTAGGTCACCCTGCCTTGGTGGGATACAGCCAGTTTGTTGAAAAAAACTATTAAACTGTTTTGTCCAGGATTAAACTTTATCAAGTGTACAAACATCCAGTCAGTTTTAAATTTTCATTTCTGATGTACGATAACTAGAGCAAGATTCTTCAACCTGTTGGCATGTGCCCCACCCAACTCTTGCAAGAAGTGCAACATTAAAAGCTTCCAACACCTGGCCAGGATTATAACCTTGCCATGATTACTTTGACATACCAAGTGAAAGGAGTCAACATTTCATATAGGGACAATAATCAAGACATTATCAATATATCTCAGCCATGTACTACTGCTGTCCTAATCAGCAATTTTTATCTTAACAGGCATCAACAGATTCCAGTAAGAATTGCAAAGCTGAATTAATGGAAGCCAAGTCACGTATTAACGAACTGGAGGAAGAACTAAGAATGAAGGAGGAGATGATTCTCGAACAAGGAGCTGGAAAGAAGAGCATTTAAAGAATAAAATGCACGATACCACGACTGGAACAGTACATGAATAACCTGCACATAGGAGACAGAAACTTATGATGATGTTTTGGACCAACTTGGACCATTAACTGGTCACTACTTAATGGTCCAAGTCAAATCAAAACATCGTTGTAGTTTCTTTTTCCTATGTGCGGGTTATTTGTGTAAGAGCCTTTAACTTTATATACATTCCACATAGTTGTATGAATACTTTGTACAGGTCTCCAACTTACAAATGAGTTGTGTTCCTGATAGTCAGCTCACTTATGAAGCTCCTTTATATAGTGATTTTGTAAATGGGATTGAATAAATACTACATCCAAAACAGAATAGCATGTGGAAATGCCCTTATAGTAAGTGCTATTCAGTTGTGGATGCACTTTTTCAATCACATTTAAAAAATCACACTAGAAGAGCTTGATAAGAGAGCTGACTGTTTTTCAGAGTACCAATAAATAGTTTATATAGAGAATATTATACATAGAATGATTGACTCACATTTGTGTATAATTCCTTAGAAGTTATGGAATTCTAATTGGTGCCTCGGTGTCCTGTTTGGGACTATAGATGTCTGTGATTTATAGCAATTGTAAATTGATGACCTGTATTCTGTCATTAGTTATCTATACTTTTGAGAGTTTGAATCTGCTAGGAAATCAGCAAAGGGAAAGTGTGCAGCACTTGATAAAACCTTCAGTATTCAATATTCATACATTTTTCTTTCAACAACCGGCCATATCCCACCAAGGCAGGGTGGCTTAAAAAGAAAAACGAAAGTTTCTCTTTTAAATTTAGTAATTTATACGGGAGAAGGGGTTACTAGCCCCTTGCTCCCGGCATTTTAGTCGCCTCTTACAACACGCATGGCTTATGGAGAAAGAATTCTGTTCCACTTCCCCATGGAGAGAGGAAATAAACAAGAACAAGAACTAGAAAGAAAATAGAAGAATACCCAGAGGGGTGTGTATATATACGCTTGTACATGTATGTGTAGTGTGACCTAAGTGTAAGTAGAAGTAGCAAGACGTACCTGAAATCTTGCATATTTATGAGACAGACAAAAGACACCAGCAATCCTACCATCATGTAAAACAATTACAGGTTTTCGTTGTACACTCACTTGGCAGGACAGTAGTACCTCCCCGGGTGGTTGCTGTCTACCTACCAACCTACTACCTAGGATATTCATACATATTTACCAATAATTCCAAGAAAATGTTTTCTCTTTCAATTTAATCTACCTTTTCCTTCCTTGGATCAAACCTAATTTTCTCCCATACTCTATGTGCTGTGTAACCCCCTATACAGTGGACCCCCGCATAACGATTACCTCCGAATGTGACCAATTATGTAAGTGTATTTATGTAAATGCGTTTGTATGTGTATGTTTGGGGGTCTGAAATGGACTAATCTACTTCACAATATTTCTTATGGGAACAAATTCGGTCAGTACTGGCACCTGAACATACTTCTGGAGTGAAAAAATATCGTTAACCGGGGGTCCACTGTATGTTTAACACTAATAAACAAAAATATAAATTACCTTCTGATGATTCATTTTCCTCAGTAAATGACCAAGTATCATGTTTGAACTGTCAGTTTCCTGACTTTGTTCCTTTACTCTGTTTCAGTAGTATTAGTGAATGTTGGACTAACATCAGGAAATGAAAACTTTTTTCCTGTTTAACCCGTAAACGGTCCAAGCAGATCTATGTTCACATGTGTAGTGCTACAAAAGTAGATTACGTTTTTTTACATATTTTCAAATATAACAAAAAAAAGTAGATCAAAGTTTTTTTACACATTTTCAAATGTAAAAAAACAAAAAGAACTACTTTTTTACGTACTTTCAAATGTTGAAAAAACGTATATATACGTTTGGACCGTTTACGGGTTAAACATCATCTTTCAGTGATTTCAAAGCAGTGGCTGCACTTTCCTCATTTCTAAGATGGTTTCTGCCATGTCTCATCTTAATGCCTTGTGACCCATGGTTGTGCCTCACCCTTCTGAGTTTGAACATTCTCATTGTATGTAAAGTAGCTGTTTAAAGTAACATGTTATGCTAATGTACTGTATCTCTTTTTTTTTTTTTCAACAAACCGGCCGTATCCCACCAAGGCGGGCGGCCCCAAAAGAAAAACGAAAGTTTCTCTTTTTAAACTTAGTAATCTGTATCTCTTATGACAGGTAATTAATTCTTTTTTTTAACACAGTTTCCGTCTACCACCGAGGCAGAGTGAGTGACCCCAAAAAAGAAGGAACTAAACTTTCTTCTTGTGAGATATAGTAATTTATACAGAAGAAGGGTTACTGGCCCCTTCCTCCCATCATTTTAGTCGCCTCTTATAATACGCTTCACTTACAGAGGAAGGATTCTTCTCCTCTTCCTTGTGGAGATCAAGTACTTATATTGTAAGTAAACACAGTGTAGTACATTGGTAGTAGTATAGAGTACATAGTAGTGTATAGTACACAGGTACAGCAGCCATCCAAGAAGGTACTGCTGTGCTGTCTGAAAATTTGAAGCTTGTTAAATATTTTGCACTCTGGCAGAATTGCTGGTCTTTTCTGTCTCTAAACCCTTCAAGAACGTGCCCTGATGCTGGTGAAGAGCTCTTCATTCAAGAAATTGGAATCTTTCCTCTTTTTTGGGTTGAACTTGCTTACCTCCAGTTCATCAGGCACTGTATGACCCCTACAGGTTTAGAGCTTCCTCAGGAATATAATAAATATTGCTGTCTGCATCATAAAATTTATTAAATTACTTATATACACTTTTTAGATTGAAACAGCATTGTAATTTATTGGTATAAATTGTTTTTGATAAATTATGTAATGTACTTTAGTACATTTTCCTACTTTTTTTTTTGGTATAAGTTTTTTAAATGCTATAAATAATTTTAACAAAACATTGCGTATGCTGTAATAACAGTGTTGGTCGGCATTGTGTCATGAACAGAACTGTAGCATCTGGGGCAACAGGAGGAGCATCTGCTTAATATATGTAAAGTAAAAGGACACAAGTGCAACTAATGTGACATTTTATTGTGGCAACGTTTTGCTCTCCAGGAACTTTGTCAAGCTTGATAAAGTTCCTGGAGAGCGAAACGTTGCCACAATAAAATGTCACATTAGTTGCACTTGTGTCCTTTTGCTTTACATATTGTCGGTAATTCTACCACTTTATTGCTTAATATATGTTGACATGCTATCATAATAAATTAAAAGATAATTTACTGCATCATTCAGCATTGGTATTAGGCTGTTTATACTTATATATTAGGCCTATAGACCTAGTCTCTATGATACTGATGGCTGATAATCAATTTTAAGTTCTACTGATTTTCTATTTCTCCTCCTGGTTATGCTAAGAGTTTGCTCAGGTTACAAGCCAGGTGAGGATACATGTGTCTGTTATTTAGTCTTGCTGTGGGAGCACTCCATGATGATACATTAGCCAGCAGAGAAGTCAATGTTACAAGGAACTCTCATCCTTGTCCCTGGCACTGGCATCCTCTAGTTAGTCCTTAGCTGAAAATTATTGAATATAATGATTAACAGGGGATAAAAATGATGTACGTACTAAGTTCGTTTTCATTATAATCATCAATGAAAAATATATTTTCTTTTTTAAGATGTCTTTGAATAAAATGTTATATTTATTTATTTTTATTAACACGTTGGCCATTTTTGACCAAGTCAAGGTGATCCAAAAAAGAAGAAATGCTTTCAAAGTTATTCATTCCATCACTGTCTTGCCAGAGGCATTCCTATACTATAGTTCAAAAACTGCAACATATCTCCACTCTTCCTTCAGAGTGTCGACAGTGTACTTCTCACCTCCAGAACTCAAATCTGGCTAACCAGTTTCCCTGAATCTCTTCATAAATGTTACCTTGCTCACTCTCCAACAGCATGTCAAGTCACAAACTCATTTGCCTGCACCTGCTCCTATCTAACACGCTTAGGCACGCTTGCTGGACGTCTAAGCCCCTTGCACACAAAACCTCCTTTGTTCCTTTAATGCTTTACCTTTTATAAAGTATTAATATTTTATGAACCAGTACATATTTTCTAAGACCTTCAAGGGTCAAGTGCCTGGTGTCAAAAATTTGAAACTAATTTTTTCATTTTTTCAGTCAAATCTGATTAACTCTCATACCCCAGGTACTGTATGACCCATTCATGTTCAGAATGAGCAGAAAAAATCTTTGCTGACTGTCATAGCTAAAAGATATAGAAATGGAGAACTGGGCGAATGCATGTTTTGTGGTGCTTGCTGAGTTAACTTGTGTTCTAAGTAAGCATGGTAATTCTAGTAGGGAGCAACGAGTGACCTATCTGGCTCACCTGAATTTGGGGCCACTGAAATTCCCTATTTTGGTCATCCTGGTTTGGAGCCCACTGAAATAGTATTTGTGTCACCTGGATTTAGGGGTCACAAGGGACCTACTTGAATGAGAACATAAAACAAAAAACATAAGAATGTGGGAACACGCAAAGGCCTACTGGCCCATACGAGGCAGGTCCTTATAAAAACGACATCTACCTAAAGATCAGAAACAACTCCCGCACCCCCAAAACACCAATCAAACCCAGCCCCCCCCACCATAATTTGTCCAGTCTCTTCTTAAAGCTACCCAAGCCCCCTGCCTCACACCACACGGGAAAGATGTTCCAGTGGCAAAGACTGTTGTGGCGAAACGTTTTTTTTAAATAAATGTCCTGAATGTACATAATTCTTTTTCCACATTTTGTCGTATCACCAAAACCATTTCCTCTGACCTCAATTGTAGCAAATTCCCAAGTCAATTATAGCTGAATTTAAGAAGCCATCTCATAAGATAGCTTGTTTTAAAGATACTCAGCATGGAATTCACAAGAGGCCGGGCTTGTCTAACTAAATTTTTTAAATTTCTTTTAGTAAACTTTTGAGGGGTGTTGACCCGTAAAAAATTTGATGTAAAGTAAAAGGACAAAAAGTGCAAAATAAAATACATTTTGTGGGAACGTTTCGCTCTCCAGGAGCTTATCAAGCCCTTGGGGTAGTTGTCCTGGGATGGGGGGGCACCCAAAAACTTACTCGTGAGGTAGGGGTGCAAGGCGACTGGCTTTACGCTGCCCACAAGACACGTTCTCCGGGAAGTCACAGGTATGTTTCTCATCGTTGAAATAGAGGCCTCCATAACACTCATGCTTCACAGGCACACCATCACCATTACCTATGATTAAAAAATGCTTAAAAATGTTGCACAGTAATTAAAAAAGGCACTAGACAAGATGATCATTTAAAAATCTGATGTTTTATGGCACAAAATATACTGCACCTTAAAAAATTTTAGGGCTAATGTTTTTTTAAGAAATTTATTTTTTTGGCACTTTTTTTTACTCCGTATCCCCCTGTTATAAAAGAAAATTGTTTCATATTTCTGCTACTTTCTACCTTTTACTTTTTCCCTTTTACCTCTTTCCCTACTAGCTATTTTTTCACTGGCCTTTAGTGCGTAAGTCTTTTACAGTGGACGCCCGGTTTTTTAATCACCTCCCCAAAGCGACCCAATTATGTAAAGGGATTTATGAAATGCGTTTGTACGTGTAGTTTGGGGGTCTGAAATGGACTAATCACTTCACAATATTCCTTTTGGGGGAACAAAAATTTCGGTCAGTAGGCACCTGAACATACTTCTGGAGTGAAAAAATATCGTTAACCGGGGGTCCACTGTATTTTTATTGCTCTTTGAGATGCAAGTTACTATTTTTTACTATATCTTTATTTAGTACATATCAGTTTCGCAACACAGTGGGATCATTCAGTTATTCCACAAGTTTCTAATAGTTTTTTATTTATTTTTAGTCTTTATCAGGGACATTTGGCTGTGTGACTGAGAACAGAGGTTGGAACACTTAATTACACCAAATATTTAGTCAGTTATTTTTATATAGCCGGACTTGAGTCCTGGAAATGGGAAGTACAATGTCTGCATTCTAAATGAGGGGTTTTGGGATATTAGTAGTTTGGAGGGATATGTTGTGTATCTTTATATGTACAGTGGACCCCCGCATAACGATCACCTCCGAATGCAACCAATTATGTAAGTGTATTTATGTTAGTGCGTTTGTACGTGTATGTTTGGGGGTCTGAAATGGAACTAATCTACTTCACAATATTCCTTATGGGAACAAATTCAGTCAGTACTGGCACCTGAACATACTTCTGGAGTGAAAAAATATCGTTAACCAGGGGTCCACTGTACATATGCTTCTAAACTGTTGTGTTCTGAGCACCTCTGCAAAAACAGTGATTATGTGTGAGTGTGGTGAAAGTGTTGAATGATGATGAAAGTATTTTCTTTTTGGGTCACCCTGCCTCGGTGGGAGACGGCCGACTTGTTAAAAAAAAAAAAAAAATTTAGCCAGTTACCATTTTACTCCTGTTGACTATTTTGTATCACTTTTTGTGTAACACAGGTTGGCTGATTTTACTTTTACTGTAACTGTGGTTGTAGTGTTGAGTACAGCTGTCATTGTTATGACTTACACTTGTACTCAGTACAGTGTAACTATTATACTTACACTTGTATTGAGTACAGCTGTGGCTGTTATAACCTACACTTATACTGAGTACAGTTGTGAGTGTCATGACTTACACTTGTACTCAGTACAGTGTAACTATTATACTTACACTTGTATTGAGTACAGCTGTGGCTGTTATAACCTACACTTATACTGAGTACCCGTTTGGATGTCATGACTTACACTGACTCTACAGTGTAACTATTAATCTTACAATTGTATTGAGTACAGCTGTTTGGGTGTTAAAAACCTACATTTATACTGAGTACTTTGTGAGTGTCATGACTTACACTTGTAGTCCCAAACAGCCTTCCAGGGTAAGACCTGCAGGTTGGGTCACAAGTGGGAGGCTTCTCTGGCTGCACTCTGGGAGGCCTCCGGGCAGCACACACTGGCTTACGTTAGGTGGACACCCCCCCCGGCAGGTTGGGAAAACTCTGCTCGGTTCCCCATTCTGAGAAATAAAAAAAAAACCACAGTACCGGGTGGAAAAAATGCCCAAAAACCCGCCCGTGAAAATGTTTTGGTCCTTCCTAACCATTTTCAACCCAAAGCTGTCCACTTGACCATCTCCATGACTAACCAAAATGTCATCTAAGGTCCTCCCCCAAATTTTTTTTTTTTTTTTTTGGTGAAAGACTGAAAGCAGTCCCCCTAATTGCTGCATGATCAGTTTAAAAATTTTTTTAACAGAATTTTAAGTAATTTCAATTTATACCTGTTAGTAAGAAAATTAGTTTTATACCAAATTTTACCTGGAGTTCCCGGGAGAGGGTTTTGGTATACTCCTGTATGCTTTATATATCTCTACTAACAGGGTAAATTAAACTTACTAAAAAATTTGTAGAAATTTTCAAAGATGTATGTTAGCAATTTTTTTAAAAACCAAATCTTTCACCATTACAGTACAGTGGCCCCCCGTTTAAACGATCACCTCCAAATGCGACCAATTATGAAATGTATTAGTAAGTGCTTTTTGTACGTGTATGTTTGGGGGTTGAAAGGATAATCTACTTCACAATATTCCTTATGGGAACAAATTCAGTCAGTACTGGCACCTGAAAACTACGGAATAAAAAAAAATTTTTCGTAACCGGGGGCCCACTGTATTTCTACATGATATATTTGCTTTTTTCCCATAAATTAGATATGGATAACAATAAGCTCTCTTATAAGCTCATCGGGGGAATTTTTTTTTGCAAATGCAACTAAAAAGAGACATATAAAAAACCTACAAGGGGTGGGGTTTGAACCCGCGTCAGAGAGTCTCAGAACTCCAGCCGTTGTGGTATGGTTTGTTTGCAACGGGTCAGACGTTTTTCATGATCAAGCAGAAAAAAATTGAACAGCATTTTCTATGAAGGTTTTCTTAATACTGCTAATTTTGAATGCACTTTCAGTTTTATTCCCCAATTTTCACACTATAAGGGGACCCCCGAAAAACGAATTTTTTTCACTCCAGAAGTATGTTCAGGTGCCAAAACGCCAAATTTATTCCCATAAGGAATATTGTGAAGTAGATTGTCCTTTTCAGCCCCCCAAAACATACCGTCAAACGCACTTCATAAATACACTTGGTTTGCGTCAGCCACAGCAACAGCCTGGTTGATGGCGCTGTCCCCGGGAAGGCCTGGTCACAGCCCGGGCCCGGGGGGGCGTTGACCCCCGAAACCTCTCCAGGTAAAACCCAGGAAAACAAAATTTGGGACGCTTGGGAGGTGATCGTAAGCGGGGGTCCACTGAAAGAATTTTTAAAAGAATTTTTTCTGAAAAAAACATAGAGGTTTCAAGTAAGAAACTATTTTGGGGCGTACCTCGAAAAATATACGCATGCACATCGGGGGTGAGCCGCGGGCAACAGTCACTTCAAATTTCTGGTTTTGGTTTTGGGTTTTTCTTTTTTGGGATAAGGGGGGTCGGAATGGCGCAGTCTGAATCAAGAGGGGCTTGGCAGTTTGCAGTATGGGGCCTGCAAAACCCAACAAAGGATTAAAGGGAGTACAAGGGGGCAATCTTGACAAAATTTGATTGTGTGTAAGTGGCCCCATTTTGTAAAAAATTTTTTGGGGTGGGAAAAACAGCCATTTTTTGGACAGCCAGGCCCACATGGACATCACCACCATCTCCCACCACCTCACCACCATCAAAACCCCCAAACATCACCACCACATCACCCACCTCCTTCCCACATAACTCACCATCGGAGGGGTATGTGCCAGTAACACATTCTGATATTGTTTCATGGTCGCAAGAAATTTTTTCTTGTCCCCAGACAGGGCTGCAGCACAGGCATTTTTTGGGGGACCTTTTAAAGGCCACACTGGAAAAAATTTTGACACCCTTGGGATGACGATTAATTTTCCCAGGGTCAGTAGATGACACACCCCTCAATCTTACATCACCACTAGATTGGGTGGTTCCCAGATTGGGGGGTTGTGGGTTTGGGGTAGTCACAGGTTGGGGGGTTGTATTGGGGGGTAGTCACAGATTGTGGGGTTGTAGTTTGGGTTTATTTTACGGGTTTGCAGTTGTTGGCGGGTTAGTTAAGGTTTTTACAGTTTAGGTTGGTTATTTCAGGTGTGCAGTTGTGGGTTGGTTAGTTAAGGTTGTGCAGTTGGGGTTGGTTTTACGGGTTTGTGCATTGTAGGTTGGTTAGTTACGGGTTGTGAGTTTTTTGGTTGGTTATTACAGGTTGTGCAGTTGGGGTTGGGTATTTTGCAGGTTGGCAGTTGTGGGGTTAGTTTACAGGTTTTTGCATTGTAGGTTTGGTTATTACGGGTTTTGTCATTGAGGTTGGTTGTTACAGGTTGTGCAGTTGGGGTTGGGTTAGTTACGGGTTTGTCATTTGTAGGTTGGTTAGTTGCAGTTGTGCATTGTGGGTTTGGTTATTTACGGTTGGCAGTTGTTTTTGGTTAGTTACGGTTTGCAGTTGTAGGTTGGTTATTACGGGTTTGTGCAGTTGTAGGTTGGTTAGTTACAGGTTGTGCAGTTGTAGGTTGGTTAGTTACAGGTTGTGCAGTTGTAGGTTGGTTAGTTGCAGGTTGTGCAGTTGTAGTTTGGGTTTAGTTACAGGTTGTGCAGTTGTAGGTTGGTTAGTTACAGGTTGTGCAGTTGTAGGTTGGTTAGTTACAGGTTGTGCAGTTGTAGGTTGGTTAGTTACAGGTTGTGCAGTTGTAGGTTGGTTAGTTTGCGGGTTGTGCAGTTGTGGTTGGTTATTCAGGTTGTGCATTGTAGGTTGGTTATTACGGGTTTGTGCAGTTGTAGGTTGGTAGTTCGGGTTGGCGTTGTAGGTTGGTTAGTTACGGTTGGGCAGTTGTATTTTTGGTTAGTTACGGGTTGTGCAGTTGTGGGTTGGGTAATCACAGTTTGGGGGGTTGAGGTTGGGTAGGTTCAGGTGTGGTTTTGTAGGTTGGGTCTTACAGGTTGTGGTGTTGTAGGTTGGTTGGTTATGCTTCTGTTTTTTTGATTCGGTACTTCCAGCTCAACTTCCAACCCATTTTTCCAGATCTTTACTTCCAGACTCCACTTCCAGACCCACTACTTCCAGACTCATTACTTTCAGACCCACTACTTCCAGACTCACTACTTCCAGACCCACACTTCCAGATCTTACTTCCAGACTTCCACTTCCAGCCCCACTACTTCCAGATTTTTTTTACTTCCAGACTCAACTTCCAGACCCAGTTTCCCAAACCCATGACTTCCAGACCACACCCCCCAACCCACTCCCCGACTCACTATTTCCCCAATCACATTTTCCAGCCCAACCTATTTCCAGCTCACTACTTCCAGACCCACTCTTCCAGACTCATTATTTCCAGACTCATTACTTCCAGATCATTTTTTCCAGACTCCATTACTTCCAGACCCCCCTCCCAGACTCACTATTTCCCAGACCACTCCAGACCCCTTTTCCAGCCCCACTCCCAACTAAATACTTCCCAGACCCTCCAAACTCACACTTCCAAACCACTCCCAAAAACCGCTACTTCCAGACCCATACTTCCAGACTCAACTTCCAGTTCGCTACTTCCAGCTCACTACCAACCCTATTTTCCAGACCCACTATTTTTCCAACTCACTACTTGCAGACCCACCTTCCGACTCATTCTTCCGATCTACTTCCGACACATTATTTTTCCAGACTCTTACTTCCGCCCCCCTACCGACCACTATTCCAGACCCACTCCGATTCACTTTTTCCAGACTCACTGCCAACTCACTACCCCCGCCCCACACCAATACTACTTCCAGACCCATACTTCCAGCTCACTACTTCCAGACTCACTATTTCCAGTCTCCTACCAGACTCACTTTTCCGACCCACTACTTCCAGACTATTACTTCCGACCCACATTCCAGACTCACTACTTCCAACTCATTACTTCCCAGACCCACACTTCCAGACTCACTACTTCCAGATCTTACTTCCAGACCCACTACTTCCAGACTCCCTACTTCCTGATCATTACTTCCGACCCATATTTCCCATCTCACTACTTCCAGACTCACAACTTTCAGCCACTACCAGACTCACACTTCTATACTCTCTGCTTCTGACCACACTTCCAACCCATTACTTCCAGACTACTACTTCCAACTCCCGCTTCCGGACCACTATTTCATTTTCATCGTATCATGCTGTGATTCCAGACCCCTGGCTTCCACCCCTTTTTCATTTTTATTAAGTTAGTTTTAAAAGCCCCAGCCATTTTTACACCCTTTTTCCCATTACAGTCCCACAAGCTTTAGGGCAGTTTTTTCAGGAGAAAGCTCCCAGTAAACATTTTAGTCTCGGTGCACTGGCATCCTCCTTGACACAATGGGAGCCAGTCCTTCCGGCGATCCACAAAGCGATCTCTGAATGATCCTTCATCCCCCGGGTTCTCTTTTAGTCCAATTCCCGCTAAATCACACTGCGAGGTGTCCCGGTTGAACACAACCCCGCTACAGTAATATTTCAACCCCTTGCCTTTTCACCTGATCAGAGAAATTTAATTTAAAGGGATAAATTGTTTTTTTTTTTAGGGAGAGGTCGGTAACAGTAACCCCCCCCAAGGGGGTGTCTACCGCCTGCCAAGTGGTGAAAACAAAGCCTGTAATTGTTTTACATGATGGGAGGATTACTGGTGTCTTTTTTTTGTCTAAAAAAAACAAAATTTCGTAGTATTGTTACTTCTACTTAAAACTTAGGTCCAAATACACATGCAGTCAAAAATAATATAACACCCCTCTGGGTTTTCCCTTTTTTTTCTTAAGTTCTTTTCTTTTTTATTTCCTCTTCTTCCATGGGGGGAAATGGGACGAATTCTTCCTTTTTCAACCATGAGTGTTGTAGAGGCACTAATATGCCAGGAACAAGGGGCTAGTAACCCCCTTTTCTGATCCTTTTAAAGTTAAAAAAAGGAAAAATTATGTTTTTCTTTTTGGGTCACCCTGCCTGGTGGGATACAGCCAGTTTGTTGAAAGGAAAAAGAAAATTTTTCACAAAAGATTATAAAACTCAAGGAAAAAATGTGAGTAGTATAACGTATGTTGCTCAAAATCGTAAACCCCAAACCAGTGCAGTAAAAAATGTCTTGTATTAATGACTAAAATTATCAAGACTTATTTTAAAAGGGGCTGTTACCCCTTTCTAAATGTCTCCACCTTCAACACCCTTTAGTTAACCCTTTATTAATGTAAGGCCCTGGTGGGTAAAAGTCTTCAAAATAAAATCCCCAGTGTTACCCATGTGATTTATCACAAATAAAATAACATTTGTAACAGTCTTATGGCCACAAACATCAAAACATGGAAAAAAAACCCCCTACCCACCAAAATAGTTTTAAAAGTTTCATTTTTAAATTTTTGGGACAGTGGCGTCAACACCTTCCCAGTCTCGCATCATATATAATTACCCCCCTCCTCACCCCCTGACAGTTTAAACTGAACAAACTCAACAGGGAATTTTTTAAAAACAGTTTTCAAAAAGTATAAAAAAGTGAAATGAAGTGAAACAATAGGGTTCAGTGTTCCTGGGAGTTAGTGCCAAGGGCCCAGTTTGGCTGTGACGTGCCAGGACATTAAAGTGACCTCTTAATATTTTTTATTTTGATTCATGGCTCTGTTACTCCCTTTGTAATTTTAAAGTGAAGCTTTTGATACCAACGGAATCACCTTCGTGAGGGGTGTGAAGGAGAGTGTTTTCAAATGATAGTTGTTACACTCAGTGATTGCAGGGGGGGGTAGAGGTAGTGTTTTTCTTTTCACTGCGTAGTTTTACACCATTTGGGGGTGCAGGGGAGGAGAGGAGGGTGTGTACTTACACTGCCAGAGGCAAACACAAATCATCAAACAGGGACGACATTTTCACAAGAGCAGTGGAAGGTTCCGACACTGTGTCTTCTTGGAATCACACTGTTCCTCCGGGTTTGTACACCAAGGTTTCCCGGACACTCGTGTATGATCTACACCCTCCTGTGTCCAAACAATAAATGATTACAACATAAAGCAAGTTTGTTTATAAACAAACTTAAACAAATTAAAAAAAATCGTAATTTTATCACATTAAATTAAATTTTTTTAAAGCCGTCCAAAATTATCAAGTTATTCTTTATTCACTGAAATAAAGATTAAAAGGAATTCCCCAAAGCAAAAGACTTACTAGACTATAACCAAATCTTTTTTTAAATGACAATTTTTATATTTTAAAACTACTTACATATACATTCATAAAATACAAATTTTTTCAAACTTATTTTTATACATTTAATGTCCTTTAAATTTTTTTTTTTTTTTTTTTTAACAAGTCGGGGCCCTCCCCACCAAGGCAGGGTGACCCACCAGCAGGGTGTTCCAAAAAAAGAAAGAAAATCCCCAAAAAAAAAACTTTTTTTAAACATTCAACTTTCACCTCACCACACATAATCATGTTTTTGCAGAGGTGCCAAATACAACTTTTTGAAGCATATACGTAAAAAAGATATACAACATACCCCCAAACTGCCCCAAATCCCGAACCCCCCTTTAAAGTCAGGCATTGACTTCCCCCTTTCCAGGATCAAGTCCCCCCCCCCTATTAAAAAAACCGGTTTCCCTAAAACCCCTTTACAATATTTCCCGCTCACACTCCAACAGATCGTAGGTCCAAATACCAATTTGCTCCTTCACTCCTATCGAACCCCATGCTTTCCTGCTGGAAATCCAAGCCCCCGCCCACAAAACCCTTCCTTACCCCTTCCTTCCAACTTTTTCGAGGACCCCCACCCCGCCTTTCCCTTCTCCTACAATTTTTAAAAAGCTCCCTGCCATTCTACTTGATCCATTCGTCCCAAATGACCAAACCCCCTCAACGTCCCCCCTTTTTGCCCTCGACTAATACTTTTAATTAACTCCACACCTTTTCCTAATTTCCAACCCCCAAAAATTTTTGCATAATATTTACCCACACATTTCCCTTTGAAAGGGCATCTCCACTGCCTCCAAACCGTTCCTCGCTGCTGATTTACCACCCAAATTCACACCATATAAAGGGGTTTTTACTACAACTTTCTACATCCCCTTTCTTTGCCTCCATTAAAAACTTTTTTGACTCCACAAATACTCAAGCACCCTCCCCCCTTTTTTTTCCTCATCAATTTTTAAGATTAAAACCCATCCTTTTATAAATCCTCCGCCCCACTGTAACTCCCCAAATATCTAAAAAATTCACTTCTTCCATACTCCTTTCCTCCCCAATTTGAATCTAAATTTTCTTTATCTAAATCATTTGATCCCATCACCTTACTCTTTTCTATGTTCACTTTTAACTTTTACCTTTTCCACATTCCCAAACTCATCCTTAACCTTGCAATTTTTTTTTAGAATCTCCCCCAAGCAAGTATAACAGCAAAAAGTAACTGGTTAAACCCTTTTAATTTGATTCCCCATAATTTAATCCCACCCCTCTCCCGAACACCCTAGCATTTACTTCTTTTACAACCCCATCTATAAATATATTAAACAACCATGGTGACATTACACACAAGACGGTGGAAGATGTAGTCCTGACGTGTGTTCTCTAGTGTTTTGTGTTTGACTGGATAAACCTACTGAGCAGGCAGATGTATATGATAAACCTTCATATATAAACATTTGAGGATTTCCCCCCAAGTTACATTGGGAAATACAGTTCTTCTGACAAAGAGTTCCTCCCTGTAAATTCTTTTTTTTCCACCCCATCACAGACATTCACCATCATCTCAGATTTGTGGTTATGTGATAGTGAAGTAGGTGAAGTGAGACGTGAATGTGAAAATTGATTTGAGTTGCTTGGTAAGACCAAGCCAGGGGTCACAGACCAAGCTAGCAGCCAGGGGTCACAGACCAAACTAGCAGCCAGGGGTCACAGATCAAACTAACAGATGGAAGAGTGAGGACAGTGACCCAGTTCACGAGGACAGCAGATAGGGTTTATGAACATGAACATATGGAGCTTTCAAGCGACATATTTAGCTTTCAAGCAAGACATTAACTGGGGATTTGACAGAAAGAGAGTGCCTTTTACACAATTCACCATAATTCTAGAGATCACTCACTGCATCACAATGGTAGTAGGCATTACAGAGGTACGGGTGAGGCTTGGTGCAGGTACCACCACAGTCGCACACCACTAGTCCATCAGTTGCACCATCAGCCACATAGGGTGACTCAAGCTGACATGACTCTTGGAAGGGGACACACTGAGCCTCTTCTGGCAGGTCACATGATCCTTTGCCAGCACTGAAGTGAAGCTCTGAAGGACAAGTCTGAAAACCACCATGAAAAACCACCTTGCAGAACAGTTGAGTCTTTTCCTGACATAAAATTTTAGTTACCATATACAGTGGACCCCCGCTTAACGATCACCTCCCAATGTGACTGATTATGTAAGTGTATTTATGTAAGTGCGTTTGTACGTGTATGTTTGGGGGTCTGAAATGGACTAATCTACTTCACAATATTCCTTATGGGAACAAATTCGGTCAGTACTGGCACCTGAACATACTTCTGGAATGAAATAATATCGTTAACCGGGGGTCCACTGTACTTAAAAATAACAGAAATGATTTTGTATTATGCAGGAACACAACAAATTATCGTCATTTTCAGTTAAACTTTGTAAGCTTCATGATTTTTACTGGTATTAATGTCATATGTTTAGATGTAAAATGGACATTTAATGACCTTGCTATGGGTCACCAGCCTCGAGCAGTGACCTTATTGTTAAATTTTTTTATATTCCAAGAATATTGCATTATTCAGATGACTGTAATTGTTTAACAAAGGAATTATCATTTTAACAAGAAAAAGGTTAATGTGAATGGGTTATAAAGTGAAAATAAGAACATAAGAATGAAGGAACACTGCAGCAGGCCTACTGGCCCATACTAGACAAGTTCTTTTCAAACCCAAACCCACTAAATATTAGGTACCTTGACGTAAGGGAAACCATTGATGCAGTGGACATACTGCGTGCAGTAGGTGGGATGGGCGTAGAGAGCATTGGGGCTGCCACAGGTCAGGTTCTCACACACATTCAACAAGGCTTTGATGGGGGCTCCTGTAAAAGACAGCACTCAGTGACTCTAGGACACCAATGGAGGTAAGTCAAATTGCTGAATTTTTTGGCTTATCCTAGGTAATTTACACATAATGTTACTAGGTGTGATAATTGTACAGTACTTATGTGCACATGTACCTAAATAACTTACCTGACAATCTATTGTAGAATCCCATACTCCACACTTGTTTGGAATAAAACAATACAGTGGTAACTCGGGATACAAACTTAATTCATTCCAGAAGGCTGTTCGAATGCCAATACTGAACGAATTAGTTCCCATAAGAAATAATGTACATTAGATTAATCAATTTCAGACCCTCAAAAATGCTCTTACAAAAGCACTTACGTAAATACACTTATGTAATTGTTCGAGTTTTGAGCTGTTCGTATCCCAAGGTACCACTGTACATGTACCTTAATAATTTAACATAAAACTGACTGTTTTTACAAAGAGTTTTCATAGCAACAGGAAGGGCCTATAGAAAAAAATAAATTCCTTGTAGTTTATGCGCCCATATAAGCTCTTCCATGGACCTCAGAGGTTCTTGGAGCACCATTTAATAACCCATGGTCTGTGGGACTAGGATTAAGGAGACACATGTGGAAGATGAAGACTCAGATGTGTCATAGAGATGTCAGGAAGTATTTCTTTAGTCTCAGGGTAATTGAAAAGTGGAATGACTTAGATGAGGCAGTGGTGGAGGCAAGTGCAGTACACAGCTTCAAGAGTAAGTGTAAGTGACAGCATCCTACCAAGAGAAACAAATATTTGAACTTACTAGCTTGAACCTCCTGAGGCAGTAAAACCACTCCCAGGAGTAGCAGAAGACGGAAGACCCCAGTTGAGCCCTCCATAGCTTGCTCTTGCACTGGCCTCTTCTAAACTGCTGACCCTGTGCCTTCCCTCTATCTCCACAAACTTCAGAAGCAACTCTGGTAAACTGCTTCTTGTAGCTAGCGGAAACTAAGAGACGCTCAGGGAGCAGTGGAAATGTGGAACACTTCAGAGAAGGTACCACAGTGAGTGTGTCTCTGAGCAAGGATGCCTCATCTGATATACTCTCCTAACCTCCTTCCCTTACTGAGGCATCTAGTGCCAAGATACTACCACCAACCAAAATATAACATACCCAAAATGTGGCTTAATAGCTGTTGCACACCTCATACCCTTCCCGAGGGTCAGAGTTGACATATACCCATCCTGTGGGTGGCACAGTAATCCCATATACCCCTCCTGTGAGCAGAAATCAAAAGATTACAGAAGTTTATAATGAGTCCAGTCATATGCCCCTCCCCCAGCATTCTGTTACATAAGCAATTTACAAAAGTAATGAAGAGTGTCGTGGATTCAATAAAATTTTCTGAGGCAATAAAACTCTGTTTATGTTTGTAGGGTCGCTGCCTCGTGGTAGACGTTTGCTATGATGAAAATTGCAAAGTGTGATTTATATACTGTACATAATTTAATATACTAGAAACTAAGACAGTATATATATACACGTATGTCACTTACAGGGTGGGTTAGATATACCATCCAAAGAATGGAATTAGATATACAGTGGACCCCCGCATAACGATTACCTCTGAATGCGACCAATTATGTAAGTGTATTTATGTAAGTGCGTTTGTACGTGTATGTTTGGGGGTCTGAAAGGAATAATCTACTTCACAATATTCCTTATGGGAATAAATTCGGTCAGTACTGGCACCTGAACATACTTATGGAGTGAAAAAATATCGTTAACCGGGGGTCCACTGTACTACTAGCCACAGGAATTGGTAGATATATCATCCACAGAGATGATAATTATACTAGCCACAAAAGGTAGCAGGTATACCATCCAGAGAAAAAAAATAGATATACTAGGTACAGGAGGTATTACAGTAAATATACCAAGCCCTCAGGAAGGAAATTAAAGAGCCATTGGTAGGGAAAATACTTATGCGTCTTACCTGATTCTGAAGAGGCTTTTGACAAGTTTTGCAAAGAGGAATAACAAGAAAAGTAGGGAATTAAAGACACATTCCTGGCACTACTACTATTTTCCTCATAGTAGACATAGGCAAGAACACTGACCATAGCTTCATGTCATCTTTTACAAATATCAAAATACAGTAACTACCTAGTAGGAGACACATGAAAAAACAACTATAGAATTTAACAAAGTCTTCCAGTGAGTAAATGAAAATAACAAACTTTCAGTGATGATAAATTTCAATTGCTTAGGTATGGCAGGAATAAAAACTAACACGAGCACAATTTACAGAACACAGACATCTCACTGTGTAAGAAACATAAAAACCATAGCAATAATTCAAGATTAAATATTCTTCAGATGGTCTGTCATTTGGAAAATATAATGAAGACAATTCTAACAAAGGTCACCCTTCAAGAGAGGTTCCTTGATGCTCCTGAGGGGCTCTTGATATAAAAAAAATGGTTTAGTGCTCCCCATGATAATAATAATAATAATCTAACAAAGAGAAGAGGTGCCAGTGATATACTGGTGCTCTCACAGCATGAATAGTCTTGTGTGCTCAGAGCACTGTTCATGGCAGGAGTGGTAGTAGATCTGGAAAATTTACAGACGTAGTATACTGCCAGCATAGAATCAATAAGCATCTAGAATACTGGGTGCGCCTTGAAATTCTTGGATTGTTCTAATCAGGGAACAAGTGGGGTTTTAACCCATGGCAGGTGAGCCCAAAAACTCACAGGTCAGTGCATTAATTGACCTGTGAGCTTTAACACTCACCACTGGTTCTAGTCCCATCCGTTCAGTGATCTGTTTGCAGTTGTGTTGTTATGATTTCTTGAGTCACAATGAAGAAAACAATCTGATGATCAAGACACAGGTTTGAAAGTTGGGTATCTTTATTGTTGAAACATTTTGCCTTAACAGTAGGCTTCTTCAGTCAGATACAGAGGCAGCAGGTGTAGTAGTGAAATGATGATGTAATCAGTCCCTCAGCTTTGGAGAAATAGTATTTGAGGTGGTCAGTCCCTCAACCTGGAGAAGAGTTCAGCTCCATGGTCTGGAACAAGGTGGTCAGTCCCTCAGCCTGGAGAAGAGTTCAGCTCCATGGTCTGGAACAAGGTGGTCAGTCCCTCAACCTGGAGAAGAGTTCAGCTCCCCTGGTCTGGAACAAGGTGGTCAGTCCTCAGCCTGGAGAAGATTCAGCTCCATGGTCTGGAACAAGGTGGTCAGTCCCCCCAGCCTGGAGAAGAGTTCAGCTTCATGGTCTGGAACAAGGTGGTCAGTCCCTCAGCCTGGAGAAGAGTTCAGCTCCATGGTCTGGAACAAGGTGGTCAGTTCCTCAGCCTGGAGAAGAGTTCAGCTCCATGGTCTGGAACAAGGTGGTCAGTCCCTCAGCCTGGAGAAGAGTTCAACTCCATGGTCTGGAACAAGGTGGTCAGTCCTCCTCAGCCTGGAGAATGAGTTCAGCTCCATGGTCTGGAACAAGGTGGTCAGTCCCTCACCTGGACAAGATTCAGGGCCATGGTCTGGAACAAGGTGGTCAGTCCCTCAGCCTGGAGAAGAGTTCAGCTCCATGGTCTGGAACAAGGTGGTCAATCCCTCAGCCTGGAGAAGAGTTCAGCTCCATGGTCTGGAACAAGGTGGTCAGTCCCTCAGCCTGGAGAAGAGTTCAACTCCATGGTCTGGAACAAGGTGGTCAGTCCCCTCAGCCTGGAGAAGAGTTCAGCTCCATGGTCTGGAACAAGGTGGTCAGTCCCTCAGCCTGGAGAAGAGTTCAGCACCATGGTCTGGAACAAGGTGGTCACTCCCTCAGCCTGGAGAAGAGTTCAGCTCCATGGTCTGGAACAAGGTGGTCAGTCCCTCAGCCTGGAGAAGAGTTCAGCTCCATGGTCTGGAACAAGGTGGTCAGTCCCTCAGCCTGGACAAGAGTTCAGCTCCATGGTCTGGAACAAGGTGGTCAGTCCCTCAGCCTGGAAGAAGAGTTCAGTCTCCATGGTCTGGAACAAGGTGGTCAATCCCCAGCCTGGAGAAGAGTTTCAGCTCCATGGTCTGGAACAAGGTGGTCAGTCCCTCAGCCTGGAGAAGAGTTCAACTCCATGGTCTGGAACAAGGTGGTCAGTCCCTCAGCCTGGAGAAGAGTTCAACTCCATGGTCTGGAACAAGGTGGTCAGTCCCTCAGCCTGGACAAGAGTTCAGCTCCATGGATCTGAACTCGTCTCCAGGCTGAGGGACTGACCACCTTAAAAGTTGCATCAGTAAAGACACCCAACTGTTGCACATGTGTCTTAATTATGAAATTGTCAGTATTTTATACCATTTTCAACACAAAACAATCTTGGAAAGAGAGAGAGAGAGAGAGTGAGAGAGAGAGAGAGATATGGGACATCTGGGAGAATGTGTTCCACACAGTTACATTAAAGACCATCAGAGGGGAGAGAGAGAGAGATACCTGATAATAAATACATGGAAGATACTTGAAAGCCTAGTCCCTTATACACTGGAGTGAAAGATGTGGGAGAAAGTGTGAAATAGATCTAGTTTTTGTGTGGCCAGCAGTAACAACCTGGTTGATCAGGTTCTGATTCACCACAAGGCCTGGTCATGGACTGGGCCATGGGGGCATTGACCCCCAGAACAACCTACAGGTAAGTGGATGATGAGAGGGGTTATAATGGCTGCATAAGCCTGCTGACTGCTAGCACAAACAGTCTGGTTGACCAGATGGTCAACAGAACAAGCCTGACCTCATGCTGGACTGTGGGAGTAGAAGTGCTCTTAAAACCAATCACAGGTGTCATAGATAATCTACAGACAGAAAATATACCACACTAATAAAGGAGATAATCCACAGAAGGGTGATAGATATACCAGCCACAGAAGGGTGATAGATATACTAGCCACAGAAGGATGATAGATATACCAGCCACAGAAGGGTGATACATATACCAGCCACAGAAGGGTGATAGATATACTAGCCACAGAAGGATGATAGATATACCAGCCACAGAAGGGTGATACATATACCAGCCACAGAAGGGTGATAGATATACCAGCCACAGAAGGGTGATAGATATACCAGCCACAGAAGGGTGATAGATATGCCAGCAGTAACAGCCTTGTTGATTAGGTGACCCTGTGGCCTGGTGGCTAAAGCTCCCGCTTTACACACGGAGGGCCCGGGTTCGATTCCCGGCGGGTGGAAACATTTCGACACGTTTCCTTACACCTGTTGTCCTGTTCACCTAGCAGCAAATAGGTACCTGGGTGTTAATCGACTGGTGTGGGTCGCATCCTGGGGGACAAGATTAAGGACCCCAATGGAAATAAGTTAGACAGTCCTCGATGACGCACTGACTTTCTTGGGTTATCCTGGATGGCTAACCCTCCGGGGTTAAAAATCCGAACAAAATCTTATCTCTTATCTTACCAGACCCTTATCCACCATGACGCCTGGTCTCACACCGAGCTGCGGGGGCGTTGCCCCCCCCAAAACCCTCTCCGGAAAATAAAGGGACCCCAAGGGAAATCAAGGACCCAAACAAAATCAAGGTAAAAAATAAAATCGGGGGACCCCATGGAAATAAAGGGTACCCAAAAGGGAAAATCAAAGACCCTTTAGAAATCAAGGACTCCATGGAAAAAAACACTTGACATTTTTTGAGTTATCCAGGGGGGGTTTAATTTGGGCACTATGTATGACAATTGTGCCACTGTACCTGTGCCAAATGAAGCACTATTTCTCGGGGAAGGGAGCCAGCCAGGCACAAACCTCCCCAAAAAACCAAATTTTGGAGCAAAAAATCCAAATAAATTTTTATAAAAAATTGCAAAAAGTTGTTTTTGGGTTTAAAAAGAGTGGACCAAAAGGGGTTTTTAATGGCATGAAACACATATCAAAATTTTAAATTGGGGCCAACCCTGGCCAAAACAGTTTTTTAAACCTCTAACTTGCTTACTGCTGAGTACAGGGGTGGACGCTTTCGAAAACCTTGTAGTATTGCTGCCACACCATGGTTGTGTGGTGGCTACCATCCACACCTGGTTGGGGTACTGTCACCA